GTCTGAAGAGTGACCGAGATGGACAAATGTAGGAACCTATCCTGGGATGCATCCCACCCTGATTTGTCAGTAAGACATCATCTATTTCTGAGACAGAATACAGCTAAATCTCTGGAATGCTTAGCCATGGGGCTTGCCGCATGGGGACATGACCCCCACGATGTTCACAATGGGCTTCTGTATGCATCACTGCTGAGCTACCCCATGCAGACAGTCCTCCCTGATGTGCACCAGTCTTTGAAGTCACCTCCAAAAGAGCACCAAGGGATAATCTGCTTGAGGTTAGACAAAATGCTCTGCCTCACACACCAGCAGCTTCATCCAGGGCGCTTTCCTGTTGCTAACAACCTGAATGAGTTTTATGGCAAAGAATGGACAACATGTCAAATGTTCATAGTTTGACTTTTTACTGTCTTCCGGAAGGCATGAGTTCTATCTATGCAGAGGGGGAACATCTGAAGAATGGGCCAAAGGTAAAAGGCTTAGTGCTGAAAATGGCTTGGGGAAGGACATAAGGAAGCATATGATCTAGTTTTATTGAGAAGTCAGGAACCACGAAGATCTGTGATGATCTCATATTGTATCACACTTCTGGAGGATTTCAGGACCAACAGAAAGGCTGTTCTGACAGTGAAAACACAGGGAACACAACTAACAACTTCAACTACCACAGCATTTTATTTCAATCAGGGGATTGCAGCTACAGCCTTTCAGGAAAGAGATAGGTTACATCAACAGGTGACCATGAAAATTCATTTCTACTTGGCAGAATACACAGTCTCAATAAATCCTCTGCACTGCAGTATAGCTGAAGGTAACTCGGTTAGTCAGCTAGCAGCCACAGTGCAAGGTACAAGGAATGCTGCTCAACTCATTCCAAATCCAGGTATCTCTAGACCAGATGGGCAGCTTGACTCAGGAGGCAGATTCCTCACATAAAATAGTGGAATGATGATGATCATCCTGACCAGTTGCTGCCCAAGGTCCACATGATTTCCTGAGGTCCACAGTCCAGCAGCAAAAAAAAAAATAATAATAAAAAAAAATTATTACAGTGGTTTGTGGTTTTTTTTGTTTGTTTGTTTGGGTTTTTTTTGTTTTGTTTTGTTTTGTTTTTTTTGTTAGCAGCGATCTCTGTTGGGTTGACACCTTGAAGAGTGCATCTTTGGTTAGCTATCCTTTGACCAGCCACCTGTCTCTCATGTTGCTCATTAGAGCAATCAGTGCAAAGTTTTCTCTATTGGTCATTTAATATCTCCAAGTATTCTTCAACTAAGCATGAAGACCATTTTTTTCCCCCAAAGAGTGCACATCAGGGGAACTACTGTTCACTTTGAAGTGGCTCACGTGTTATACGACAGCTGCATGCTGCTGAAGGTATTTGTTAGGCAACTGTGCTAGCTGTATTTCTGAGATGAGGTTTGGAGAGCTGTCCAGGAATAAGACATTGGTAGTGAAGATGAGAGTGGCCAGTAGTAACAGCTGAGAGATGATAATGTATCTGCGGGAAAGAGACACGCCAGTTATCTGGGTAGGACATTAGTTGTGCAGGAGACAGAGGAGTATCCCAGCTCCTGTAAAGCCAGCATGGAGGATGTTACAGAACAAAAGGGATCCTTTAAACACTACAGAATTATTTCATACAGTTTTGCTTTTCTTCATCTGGACTCTACTGGTCTTTCTGCAGACTTGTAATCAGGTTTGTTTGTTAAAAAAAATAAAGTCTCTGAATACTCTTGGTATGTATTTCCCTCTGTTTTAGCAATTAAAGCTCTGGTAGGGCTGTGCCTTCTTCCTGGATATACTGCTGCCTGAGGTCTTAAATTTTGTTGGTAGCTTTCCTTTTTTCCCTATTCTGATAAGAATTCTGCATTATCTGATAGCTTGCATTAGAATTAGGGTGATTCATAAGGAACATGGATTGCCTGGCTGAGGAGCAGATTAGCAATGTAATGTGCCATATTCAAATACTTGTCTAAAAGCACAGTCTGCGGGGAGACCTCCTGCCAAGAAAATCAGCACTTCCCTCTCCAAACCACAGTATACCATTGAGACACAAGTTTTGGAAAAGTAATCTAAAAATACTTCTAAAGATTTATTATTTCTGTTTGTCAAAGTGCAGATATGGTGAAGAAACAAAAAGGTCCAGGTACCCACTATGCTTTTCATCCAGGAATTATACTGACTGACATATGGAAAGCGCAGCACAGAACCCAGATAGGAGCCGGATGGGATGCTGAGAATTAATCAGTAGCATCCCAATTTCAAAAACAAACCCAACAGGAATATCATAGTCTATACCTTTCCTGTCATGTGCTCTTAGCACCAACTTTGACACAAAGAGCTGCTATTTGTTTTTCTACCAGATAACCCACTATCAGCATGGTCAAAGATACCAAACGCAGGCCTGAGCACCGTTAAACACAACGGACAGCAGAGGGACTCGCCTGCCCTCCAGAACTATTCTTACCTGTTTTGGGGACAGTAGGCAAGTTTCAGTAACACATCCAAGGATTAGGTACAAAAAACCACTACAGGTGAAAATCTAATTTTTTACATAGGTCCTTGAAAGCGAATGATACTACCTAGTATATTTCTGCTTTAGCCACTTGCCTTCCACGCTTTTACACACAGTACTCTCGGAAGACTAACCAGAGAGAATATGTTTTATGTTAACTGGGTCTAGACCACTTTTTCCATTTCATTTTGAATTTAAAAATAAAGACAGATTCTCTGCTGACAGTTGAACAGGCATAATTACAAAGGACTATATGCTGAGGATCATTTCCTTCCTTGATGATGAAGTAAGCACTGTTTTAGTCCAAAACACTATTGTAACGAGAAAATCCTACAGTAGCATTTAGGAAAAAAAAAAAAAAAAAGAAAAAGAAAAAAAAAGAAAAAAAGGTTGCAGGTTTCTCAATAGTCTGTGCTCCTGGAATTCTGAGCATCTGGGAAAGCCCCATCTACCAACAAGGGGCCCCAAATCCAGATCAACTGCTCCAGTATTTGCCTGTTTGTTGGCATCAACATCCAGAAGAGCTGATTCCCAATTTTCCATGCCTGCTGGCATTATTTAAGCAAATACTTTGTGTCTGATATATGATACAAGCATTATCATATTTCTTAAGCTTAAACTCGAGATCGTATTGTATCCCCCAGCTGACACATACAAAAATACAATGCTGGTGATGGCTGTTTCCAAACTTGATCTGTTTTTCAAAGTTTCTCTGAAGTTTTTTTCCTCAGAAAACCTTACACTCCCTCATCTAATCCTCAAATATGAAGTTTAAATTTCATACTGCTTGAGTAACAAAACTCAGAAAAGACAATTAAGCTTCAGGGAAGGGAAAATCCACACACATGAAGTAATGGCTCACGAATTTCACTCCAAAGACTCCAAAAGCTCTTCAGAACACTAGCTAAAAGGCCTTTAAGTATGTTTGTCAGTACTAATAGATAACAAAACCACAATAAATGTAAAATATCAAGCTTCACCATTTCAGGTGTGTATTAAGCTGCTTATAGATGGGCAAGTCTTGCAGGTATTACCCAAAAATGTTACAGAAAATTTTGAGTAGCTGATAAATTACTATTTTAGCTCATTTTAGCAGGTTACTCTGCAAATGCTGTAAAATTCATCATGAAATAAAATTTGTCAGATACCAACTCATTTATATTTTGATGTTGATGCAATGATTCTACTTTTCAACAAGTATCTACATCAATTTCAAATCAGTGATTTCAAACAACTAACGGTTTATTCATTTCAAGCACAAAATAACAGACATGCCATAGCAGTTTGGTGATTTAAAAAAAAAAAAAAGTCTCCTCCATAACTGTATAAACATCCTCAACTGTTCAAAGTCTACCTTAGAGAGAAGTGTCAGGCTGGTGTCATCGAGAAGCAAGTTTATACATGGACATTAGACCTCCACAGCTCACACTCTAGTTCATACTACCCTATCTTTTCCTTCTCCTCACTCACAAGAAAACTCCAGGCAGTAAACAAATACATAGCAACAGGAGCCCTTCCTGCAGTGCTAGAGGATAACACTGCTCCTTTGAGAGACAGAGATTTAGTATCTTCTAAGCTTCCCTAAACCATTTCACTTTTCTATAAATAAAGCTGCTTATCACTGTACTTAAGCTTCAGGAACTTTAATTAGACCAGGAATTCCTCTAATGATTAGATAAAGGCTGTTGCAATGAATTGGTAGCAGTCTTAAACATAAACAAAAGGATCCCTCCTCCTTTTTCCTCTTTACATTCGTTTCACTTGGGAAAGTAACCACTGTCAAATAAAAAAATTAAAAAGAAAAAAAAAAGAAAGAAAAGCCTCCTTTCAAAAGTAGGTTTTGAGTTTCTGTTTACTAAGTGGAGAGGAAATCATTATATACCTCAGCACACCCTGGAAGTAACAGTTCCAAATTTGCCTTGCATTTAAGGCCTAAAAATCAGAGAAGTACTAAACTTCAAAAGAATGTGTACACCAGATCAAAATTTAAAATGCTGGACCCGTCAGCTGCTTTAGAGGAGGAAAGCAGACTTCTGAAGCATCCTGAGCTCAAACATTACAATATGCAAGCCAGATTTACACCTGTAAAAACCTCGTTAAGTTACAGCATTCATTAACAAGAGTTAACTATTTAGTACTCATTGGAGAGTGTTTATTAATAAAGCCATGTTTGTTTGACCTTGAAATGTTGCTGGATTATTGCACTTGCCTGCAGCAGTAGCTGTTTCCAGAGAAGCTGCTGAGCAGCTACGAGACCTGCCAGGAGGACAGGGTGTCACATTCTTACTCATTGTGTTTATTCACTAGCACAATCCAACTTTCCAGAGACATGAAAACTACTGCAATTTGACAGCGGCTATTTACTGCTCTGTGAACTTGGCTAGGTGACCAAAGTTACTTTTGAAGTGTGTACTCAATATGTAGATCTATTTTAAAAGCTGTGCCACAATTAGCACTTAAAAACCACACAGTTTTACACTAGTTGGGTCAAATTAATTTTATTATGCTCCATGATGAATTGCCACCAGTGCAACATCCTATTCACTGTACATTTCAAAAATTCACATACTAAAAATTTCAGTCCGATAAATGGAAAACTGAATGATTGAGAAGTTGTTACGGATTTCATACGTACAAGTGGCTAGCTGATATTGTCTATGCACATAGAGTGTTGAGATACAAAAGCCTCATGCTAGTTTGTTTAATTGCTAAGGCTATCTGGACAGTTATTTAACCAGAATATATAAGAGAGGCCTTCATTACAATGTTTAGCAACAATGCACCAGTATGATGAAATGCTATTTTCTGCTCATAGTGCAAGTGGCGGAGTGCTGGAAGCATGCAGTTATGACTAACTTAACTGCCACTGCGGTGCGGTCTTTATGCCTGAAATTTACCATGTACAAACACTACTTTAAAGTAAATATTAAGCTGGACACCACAGAATGGGAGTGTACTTTTTGCATGAAGAAAAGGAAATAGAAAATCCAAAAGCTTTCTTTGGCCAGTATCTACAAATCAAAGTTTTATTCAATAAGGTAACTTCAGAGCTCCTGAAACCTGGAATAGAAGTTTGATTAATGAACTGTGATGCTTAATTATTTACTGTATTACAGAAATTCCAATTCTGGGAACATAACAGCTAAACATATCTAGCAAGTAGCATGTTAGGAAAACCTCTAGGCCTCATCTGCTTAATATTGAAATACCCTATATGCAATAAAAAATAAGGGAGCAGTGCCAGAAGTTATATGAAAGCCATACAAGTATTTTCCTTATACACAAGTTCTTAACTCCACTGCCATTAGCTATCCCAGGCTGCACTTGCACTTGATCCAATGCTCAAGCCATTACAGCAGCAAAGCTAGTAAGAAGTGTTTCTAGCAGCAGAGGGCAATGTGAAAGTTACCGCAAAAAAGTGAGACCACTTGGAATTTTTTTTCCTCAAGTTATGTGCTTAAATTACTCCTGGAAGGAAGTTAGCATCCTCTGAATAATTTAACTACAACCTTACCTCTCCCACTACTTTTCAGCAACTTTCCTTTCTTCTCATATGACTAAATTAATTTGCTAAAGACTAGGTTATAACTGGGTTAGAAATCCAAGCCGTATCATGCAGGTCCAGCCTGTCAAGATCAGGTCAACACTGGGTTTCAGTCAATACAATTCTGATAACTTAAATTTAGTTTGATAGCTTGACTACAGTCAGAGACCCAGGACACTATGCATTAACTACGCTTCAGATATGACTGACTTACCTAAACATTCTGTGTCAGATAACGTGGTTTTTAAAAAGATTTTCTACCTGAAAATTACAGTAAGTACAGTAATTAATGCTGCAGATATTAAATACCCAAGTAGCATAGATTAGTATTTTGCAATAGGCAGATATGCCAATGTTTACTGAACTACAAAGTACAACTTATATAAACATGAAAGCTGTGAAATGAGAATCCCATTTTCCGTACACTTATTCAAATACTATTCTTGTGAATCGGGTTCTTGATCTTCATCACAACCCTTGGTCTTAAAGCCAACATATGAAGACAGAATATTGTCATAAAGTTCAGTACTTATTCAAAGTGTATATTTGGAGTCGATGGCTTTCCAACTTTACGGATGTAGGATTGGTGCTTCAGCATTTGTTGTGTACCATAACGCAAAGACTGCAAAGTAATACCACTTATGTTTACTTTATTAGTACACCAATGTCCTACAAATTTTTAAAAGTAATTAAACATTATTGAAGCAAGCATTAAACGCAGCCCTTCAGCCTGAAAACCACATAAAATTGATTTTAAAAATAAATCAAACTGTAGCAATTGCCAGCCTCCAGCATAGCCCCCAGAAATTTACACTTCTTCATTCTGAAAGTAAGAGCTAGGGAGGAAAAAAAAAAAAAAAAAGCAATGTAAAGTCACCCTGTTTAACTCCAGATAGAGAATTCCCTAATTGAAAGATTTAATTACTACTGCTGTTCAATAGCAGTCAGTATTGCTACAGTTAGGGCAAGGTAATCTTCACAACTAGCTGTGCATTTCTGTAGTGATTTTGTTTTATGTAAAGCATACTGCTAAGACTTGAACTGCAACGTTGTGATGTATTTGAAACCATGCAATAGTATAAACCAGCCTCAACATTAATGTAGCATTGCATTTGAAATGAAGGGGCTAAATAAACTAAGAGCTGCATCACTTAAAGAACATAGTGCTATACTAGGTTTTAATAAGAAAATTTAGATACAGAAAAAGTAGGGTATGAAAATAGTGTTTTCCTTCTTGCATTATAACTAAATTACATTAAGGTTTTTGTCAGTCTCACATATTACATTTAAACTCCCTTATTGATGGAATGGAAAGTATTCACATGTACATGATCATCCAGGTGTAAACTTGCACACATTAACAGGGAGTAGCTTTGTAGAGGATTATGACAAACCTTTACAGATTAAATGAGGTATTGCACAGATTAATAAAAAAGCAAAAGGCAACAAAAATATACAGCAAATTGGTAGAACATTTACATGATAATTTTACAGAATCCATAGACAGAAAGTAGTGTTTAGTATATCATTCACCTTAAAAAATATATATATATAATAATATATGATCAATCATCCCATTCATCATCATCCTCAAAGTCTTCTTCATCATCTTCATCCTCATCTTCATCTGCAAGACAAAAAAAAGCAAGTCACTTGCATGCACCAAATTAACATGACAAAAGCATTATTGATTTGTCCCACAACTTTCTGAAAACAGAACAATCAGTTCAAGGGGGTCAGGACAATACATTTGGTAATACTCCATTTTAGGATTGCTAGACATGACATTCAGTTCAGATATATATACACTGGCTGAAAGTTAAATCTAATTTGTTTCCTTTCCTTTCTCACTCCTTTCCCCAGGCAGGAAAAATGTATCTTTTTTTCTGCTGTGACAGAAAGAATCAGAAGTTCTAATTTAACACTTACTACTATTATTCTTTCTTAGAGAATGTGAGACTGGACAGCTTGTTCCAGATTGGGTTTTAAACTTCAAGGACAGATTAATTTCTGAAACATAAGAACTGCTTTCCCAGGTTTACTACATAATGGGATTTCTGTTTACTGTACAAGCAGATAAAAAAAAAAAAGGTTGTAAGCTAAAGTCTATTGTGATTACTAGAATATTCTAAGCTGTGTGATGTTGAAGTTGACGTGCATTAATGCTTGTTGTTAACTTTATTCAGCCTTCCACTATTTTCTATGTATCATAATTTGAAAATTGTAGCCTGTTGAAATTAAACTACTTATTTGTTAAGCAAGAGCATTTCCTTCCCTAGGAAAATGTATTTAGCACCCTTGTAGTATTTAACTTATGTAAAGTACCAAGATTGGAGATTACTACACATGGCAGCAAATCAACAAACTTTACTGCACTTAGTCAAACGGTCTGCAGACAGTGAGTGCAGTTTTGGTATCAAGCCAAACTCTGGAAGAGAAATACATCAAAGTCTCAAACAGAAGAGATATAACCAAATAGCTGCACTGCACCTACTGAACTGCACTGATTACAAGCTGCTATTTGATAAATGCAAATCCTCTTGCAGCCTTATTTCTTCCAAGCACTGACGTGTGGAAAAGTTGATTAAGTATTAGTATGGGACTAGTCAAATAAAAGTTAGTTATCTGATTATTATCCAGCAGGTGGCATCCAAAGCACACTGGAAGCCACAGTTTTAACAGCACGACTCCGCAAGAGCTTTGGCTTCTAGAAACAGTAAGTGTTAAAAACCTTCCTTCCAAAATATTTTGAGAACTTATTTCATCAGACTCCTAGTGGATAAAAATAAGTCTGTTGTAAAAAATAAAATAAAATAAAAAAATCTTTATAAGGAAATTAACCTTGAAGTACAAAGTAATCATTCAACCCATTGCTAGGGGTCAGCCTAGAGTATCCTGTATTGGACTATATGCTGAAATCCATGCTTTTTTTTTTCAACAATATTTTAAATGTTAACACTTGAAAACCTGACAAGGTTCCATCAAGGCTCACCTGAGGAATGAATGGCTTTGCTCCTTTTCTGCATAACTTCCATCAAAGCACCTACAATTCCTGATGTGGGTGCAGGTGTAGGTGGTGCACTCTCCTGGCCATCAGATACCTTGGAAAAAAGGATACATTAGAAAGATGCAATTAGCAAAACAGAACGTGTGTATTTCTTTATAAACTTCCTTAGAAGATTAATGAGTTTATTTTCAGGCAGAAGAAAGAGTGAAACTGCAGTTTGTTTCTTTAGCTCAAGCTCAGAATAAGTTTTTATTTATAAAAAAGTCAACCTTTTCTCTTTGGCCATGTAACACAACTGTGGTTAGTCCATACTCAAGATTAAGTATTTCAGCTCCGACTATCATGAGGTGAGCGCTCAGCTAAAGGAAAGCTTAATATGGCTGTACAGGCATGACTTGTGTGGCTGCATAATCATCATTTATTTGATCCTTGGTATATACCAGAAAATATTTTTTCTTGCTTGAGTTTGTTAACAAGGTTTGCTTTGGGTCAATAATCCCTTCTGAAAGTAATAGCATAGCTATAATGGCAAATAAATATTAACATGCCCTCACACTTTTTCCATCAGAAGCCTCCAGTGCAAAAGAGTGTCGCAAAAAGAAAAAGGGAAAAAAAAAAAAAAAAAAAGCAGAAATGAGACTAGATGAGCGTTTGCAAGAGTAAAAATGAAGTTGACAAAAAAATAGGTGAATGTGTATTAGCACAGCTATCATCTCAGCACCTAAATCAAATGTGTAAAGAACGCAAGGAAGGATGGCGAGAGATGACAGATGGAGACAAAAATGGTTTAGAAGTGAATCACCTTCTAGGTATAACACCCTCTGGATGTCAGTCGTCAGGCTCTTTGTCCAACTTATAATTGTGAATATATTTTATGATATTCAGTTACAACAAGAAGAAGTAATAGTAATAGCCCAAGCTGCAGCAGAACAGCAGAGGGACCCCTCACAGGTGGCACTTCTCCAGACACAGGCAGCCCTCCTTTCAAGCCGCAACATTTGCGGAGCACAGATCCATTTTAAGATGTAAAAATAAAATAATAAAAAAGTAAATCTAGCATTTGCCTTCCACTGCCATTACTGCTGAACTCATCCCCTGCAGTTCTTTAGATGATTTTACTGACGTATTCAGGAGATCAGCAATCTTTCATGCTCTTGCAAAAGTCCTTTACAGCCAAAATACTGTGGTACCATTGTAGGATTTATGCTTAAAGCTTTTCAGTAAAAGTGAGAAAGCAGTTGGAAACAAGGATAATTTCATGCACCAATACTCATCTACAGCAAATAATATGATCAAATGCATATTCTAAGCATTTTCTCAGTACTACCATTTAAAGTATCACTTAAAAACAAAAAAGTTATGATCCAGCCCAAAACAGAGCCTCAAGTTACTGCTGATACTGCAATACTGCAGCCATTTGCAAGTCCCAAGGGGACACAGATGAGAAACGGCTTTTACTCACAGATTTCAGCTGTATACCCTGTCGTATCTGGTCTAAGAGTGCATCTCTTCCTGAGCAGGACACTGGTCGACTGTTCTGTTCTACTTTCTTTAACTGAGCTCCTTCTCTGATTTGATCCAAGAGTGCTGCTTTGTTTCCTGCAGGAACTGGAAGCTGGTGATCAACCTCTGAAGGAAGGCCTGGAGGTGGAGGAGGACCAGGAGGGGGTGGAGGAGGAGGTGGTGGTGGAGGAACAGATGACCCACTCGCTGGTGGTGGCGGTGGCGGAGGGGGGCCGGATGGTGCAGATGAATGCACTGGTGGTGGTGGAGGATACATCCTGTTTGGAGGAGGTGGGGGCACTGTGGTACCAGGTCTAGATGGAGGTGGGGGTGGAGGTGCTGCTGTAGGAGCTCTTGAAGGAGGTGGAGGTGGTGCCCCCCGGCCCCTAGCAGGGGGAGGAGGAGGACCGGAGCTATGGGGAGGTGGTGGTGGAGGTGGAGGGGGTCCTCCTCTGCACGGTGGTGGTGGAGGTGGAGCTGAAACAAAACAAAACAAACCAATTTATGATTACATGCTACTCAATACCTGTAAGTTTTTCAGAGACTAGCAGAAAGAGAAAAAAGGCTTTGCCTTGCATTTTGCAAGGATCTCTGTGCCTGTGTAAAATGCACCAATTCTGGATTAAGTTGAACACAGCTGAATAGAAGCTATGCTTATATGAATGCAAACCAAGCTGAACATAGCCCCAATGTCTGTCATGTATTTTGGAAAAGAAACAACACTGTAGGAGGCATGTGCAATGCATAAAAAGACTAATTAAAGTCACAAAACAAGCTTGGTCATTGATTTTAGTTTGGTCCTATGGTAGTAATTTTCTTCATAATCCAAGTATATCAAATTAGTGCAATTTCTCATGACAAAATGTGGAAAAAATTCAAAAGAATCCTTTAAAATTTTGTTGAGCTAGGACAGTAGGCAAGAGAAAGAGGTTTTAGAAAATACACTTAAAGTGAAACACACAATTTTCACTTTAAAATCTATCCATTATTTTATTAACGAATTACAGAGGCAAATATTTTTTGAAGCGTCATCTTCTAGTAACTAAAACCTACTAATTCATTAAGGTGCAGCTTAAACTGACTCTTAGTCCCTTTCACTGAATATTAGTTCCAACAATATCTTTATGGAAGGGATGGTAGAAAGAGCCCCAACACACAGGATCATTTCTATACAAAGTGGCCTTGAAATGTACTTGCTCTGCTAATTGCATTTCAAGTACCACTGTTTCATTTACTCTTCCATGAAGCATCAAATGGCTTATGGTACTTTAAGTTGTGTGGTTGTTGCATGTAACTACTTCATGATCCAGGTGCCATCATACAATAAGAAGATTCACATTTGATTTCATATGCTTTGATAACAAAAAGGGTTATTACACTCAAGAAGATTACCTCTTCTATTTTCTCCTTCCTGTTACATGCTGAAGAAAGTAGGCTGTCTGCCCAGGGACAGAGAGGAGACATCCCTATAAAAGGGATTTGGGGGAAGCAGGGGACTACTGCCTCAGTGCCTCCTTCCATGCTCATCTTAGAGAAACATACCCCTCCTAAAATTACGTGTTATGTTCTTAAGCTCCACAAACTCCTCTTATTTTTTTCTATCCCTTCAAAAGAATAACATGGGGAGATTTTCCTCTCAAACTTCATATACTCTGCAAGAGACATACTGCCAACATACTTGTTTTAAAAAAAAAATAAAAAAAATCCCACCACTTTTTGGCTGACATGACCGTAGTTTCCTTTTTGGCCAGTGGAGGCCAGTATTTTCAAACATAACTTACTTAGCAAACACTACAGACAGTTTTTCTGTATTACTGAAAAAAATATGTAACATGGTCATGCTCCAGAGTCTGTAATATATGTAGGTTCTGAACACAAGGTTTAAAACCTTTCCCCACAGGAAAACTTATTTGCATTGTATCTAGAGAGATATGCCACATCCAACCTGTGGAAATAAGAGTTCAGGAGTCTTTAATAAGGCTTGTCTGCACTCAGCTGGAGTGAAATGAGGGAGGAGCATCAAGGAGGGAGTACCACTACCTCATCCTCTCCCCATTCCCCCTCAAACAGATGGCACAAGCAAAGCAAGAAAATAATCTAGTTTATTATAAATGCACATTAATCTGAACACAGCAATTAACAAAAAAGAGTATGTGAAATCTTCTATCGATGGTATTGTCACAAAAAACCTAACCAACAGTACCAAAACTAGGGAAAAGGCAGAAGAAAACAAGAATCTAACTTGAATCTGAGCAGAGCAACATGTCTGCAGCTCTCGAGTGAGGATCCTGGCAGGTTGAATACATAAGCACAGAAATTCTTGCAATAAAACACAGAAAAATGTGTTTCAGTTGAGAAAGAACACTTCAAACAGCAGTCAAGCCTGCACATCAAATAACATAATTGTGGATAAACCCACTGAAATACTGGAATATTTTATCTACCTCTATCAAAAAGCACAGAGATAGACTATTATCATGCATGTTAAAGGTGAGGCAGCTTTTCTTTCAATTGTATACATGCAAGTGGCTGTAACTTGAAGTTAACACATATGTAATAGAAAAATATGCATTTTTAAAGTATATTAAGCTAGTCACAAGACTCCAAGGCAAGTCTTCTCAATCTAATTTTATGGTCAGCAGTTTGGGATCGACAACTCTGTAAACATTTAATCAGAGTTAAGATTATACAAAAAATTCACGGATTTCTTACTGAGAAAAAAAAAAATGTAACTGAAATTTTCCTTGCAATTTAACTGAGAAGTTTGACTCTAATTTTTAATATTGCAGTCAAACAGATATGGACTAAGGTTTCTCATTTATTAAAGAAATCACACAGCAGCATGAATACTTTGAAGCATATGCTTAGATGCCAGCTCAAATACATACCACTCCACCGTGGGGGACCTAAGGAATAAATGTAACAAGTCACTGTACCCTGAATCTGTATCTCTTCAGTCACTCGAACAATTTATTCACAGGTTTCAAATTGCTATAATTTAAATGGCATTTATATCCTTTTTCTCTTGAGAAGTGTTCTAGGCAAATTTTCGAAAGTCTGACATTGGCAGTATAATTTTCAGACTTATTTGCTATGTTCCACTAGATAATGCATTAGCTGAGATCACATTTAAACGTTAGGCAGGAAATGGCTTATTTGAGAATTTTCTTGCAGCAGAAGCCTGCTCAAAACTAGTATTTCTTACTTTAAATTAGAAAAAAAATTTCGTTCTTTTTAAAATATTCATATAAAATTTGCAGGCCTCTGGCTGTTGCAAGGTCAGTGCTGTCAAGGTAAATGGGCACCACACATAACACCTGTCAGACATGTGCTACTACTGTAACTGACAACAGCAATATTGCTTTTAAGATTTTAATGTATTTATGATTGAGATTATAAAAATAAATATGCGACACAGTCTGAAAAATCTATATGGAATATACTGCATAGCTTTACAGTTAGACTAAGCATTACTGGAAATTACTTGATGGACATAGATAAGATCCTTATTCGTTAGGGAACTCTCATGGGTTATCTAGGAACATGGTTACATAGCGTATGGTATACAGAAACGTTATGGAATCCAATTCAACTGTGGTGACATGAAGTCCAGAGAAGAGAATCAAAAATTGCTCAACATTCAACAGCTTCTACTCTAATACTTAAGACAAAAAATGCCCTCCTAATTTTTACATGGAAATAAAAAGAATCCCACCTTGTCTGCGCAGTTCATTTTTAACAGCTTCCACACCTCCTGTTTTTTCAATGAAATCATATATGACCTTTGAAGTTTCTTTGTCTTTCAGTTGAGCCTCTGAAATTCCACACAGATCAAACAGGTTTTTCAGTTCTGGGTCTAAGTTGTTCACCTGCAAGTCAGATACATTAGTTTTAAGTAGCTTGAACTAGATGAATTTTTAAAAATATCATTTGTATTGGGGAAAAAAAGCCCACAAACCATGTAGTTAAAGAGGACAGCAAAGCCAACGACATGTCTCTGGGTTGACTTTTCAGTCAGAAAGGACTATTTTAGGACAGGTAAGTACCTTGCACAAAGCTGCAGTTTTGCATGCTTTTCCCTCAATCCCAAATCTCTCCTATTACCTTCTACTCCAACATCTCTCTCTGTTTGAATCATGTTACAAAAATCACAATTTATAACTATTTTGATGTACAGTTAAGTTTAATGCCAATCTTTAAGACTTACATTAAAAAGCCTCTAAAGCTTTTAATTGTTCAGTGTCTTGAATAACTTATTAAATTACTTACATCAAAACCTGTGTTTGGATCCCAACCAACATGTCCAATGTGTCTAAAAAAGCAGAAAAGTCCATTAAATCAGCATAGAAAGGACCCTGTTAACTAAAATAACAGGACACCAAGATAACTAGAGATTACTACCAGCTTCTACCTCCAGGCTTATAAGACACTAAGCAATTCCTACTTCTCAGTGTACCACTTGAGAACTGAATAGTAAAACTTCCTTTACTCTAACTTTTTGTTTTGTGTCAAAAAGACCAAGTAGAGAAGTCATTTTCCCCCCTTAGGTTATAGTCTGTAGCAAAATACATGAAGGCTCCATGCCGCCCTGTGATGGATATGGATGGTGATGGAAGAGCTGCAAGGGAAGAGTTTGGCCTTTATATAGTAACCCAACTTCAAGCTACTGCCAAAGTCTTCAGTGTCATGCAGCTGGAAACCTCCTCCTCCCTACTATCGCTGTTTGTTCTCCCATCACCCTTCTCCCATTCACTTCCTTTTTTCAAAGAAGAAAATTCAGGAATGTTTTCAGTTGCCATCTTCCTAGGCTTCTAGTAGCCATTTCACATGGCTACTAAAGTTTTATTTTATGTGATGCTACAGCCAGCTAAAAAAGCAGAAGAGTTTGTGCTCCTCCAAGCTATTTAACGTAACCGCTGTTGGCTACAGAAGACAAAATCATAACGTTACCAGAACTCCATATTTTGTCTTTCTTTTTGCCAATGGCCAGTTCTAGAAACTGAACACAGTCTTTAGGAAGTTAAACTCAGAGTTTGAAAATGCCAGTGAGCTGTTAGTAGCCAACATAGCTTAGGTTAAGTCTGTCAAATTACAAGGACTGTTTTGCTGTAGTGCATAGCACAACAGACTTTGTATTCTTGCTTGGGTTTGTTAGTACCACCAACAGCACACGTTTTCTTAATAAGAATGCTGAAGCTCAATGAGTTTTGGTCTTGGTATAACTATGATTAGTTAACTACTCAGTTTGAGGGGCAAGAAGAAAAATAAAAGATCTGGTTTAAAATTACATTATGCTAAAGAAAAGGCAAAAAGAGAAAGCCCTCTGTTTTGCCTAAATATTGAAATGTCTTTCACTACCAAAATATGGGAATATTTATTGCTTACAGAATTCTGAACATTAAGCTACAGGTTTCTTCACATAAATTAGACATGCATTTCCCAATACATAGTCTCATACTTGATTGTATTTGCTGGTAAATTTCTGTCAATTTACATATGCCAGTTGATCAATCTTACTCACCTATTTCTGTACATCTGTGCAACTCAGGATGCTCTTTTAAGAGGCTGTGAGCATATGATTCAGAGCTTAGTGTACTTAATTGATATCAGAGTTTAAATGGAGTAGTGTTAGCAGTATTTATCATTTATGTTTCATCCCTCAGAGTAAAATAAGTTACTTGTACACATTGACAGTAACACCGAGGTCTTTTCAATGAAAATGCATACTTACCAGGTAACTGTAACTCTTATGTTATACAGCAATAAGTTATATTACAGTTAAGTAGAGTTCGATTATTTTTTGCTCAGAACATTGAAAGTCCACATCTGTCTAACAGAAGGCATTTTAAAATTTTATTTGCTGATAGCACCATTGATCTGGCATAAACAGTGATAGTGCTGGGTTTCACCAGTATCACCGCTCAAGTTATATACAAGTTATCCTACTGGCATATTTGCCTAACAATACCAAACACCAATTCCCATATGTTTGTACAAGACCAGCAATTAAAGTATTTAAATATGAGTGCACCACGATGACTCCTTCAATAAGACATCTTTATGCAGCAAAATTGTCAAAAAAGTCCTTACTGGAAATTAGATGGCGTTCCAATATCTGCCTTTGTCAATCTTCTCTTTTTAGTTTTTCCTTTCTTCTTCTCTTTGGTATATGAAATATTGTTGACTTGTGGAGTATAAAATCTGTTAGTTGTAATTTCTGGGTTTTTGATATCAACAGTTGCCATTGGTAGATTAGGGCCTGTGAAGATAAAGCACAGGATTTTTACTACTGTGTTTCAACAAAGCCATACATATATTTATTTACTTAGGTATTAGCGGTAAAATGCTTGTACTTCAGCCATAGGTCTACATGGCGCATGCAACTGACTGGGTTCTGGAGGTCAGACACATGGACTAAGTTATTTGCTGAAGAAAATAAAAGCGTTGCTACGCCAGAGCAATGGCAGAAATTTTTTCTAAACTACAATTTGTTTTTTTGCAAATTTGGCAAAGAATGCAATTTAAACTAAAGAGTTTTCATGCGCACAGAAGACGTGGAATGAGACACAATAAGGTATAGCATAGCTACAGTCCTACACCAGATCAAATGAGTGAGTGCCATGAACAGTCACACCCAGCACGCCATTACCTTGGCAGCACAGTAAACTGACCATAAAGGAGGGGAAATCTTAGCTAAGTAAGTCCCAAGTGGGAATGCTTTCTGCCATCACACACAGAACCCAAATACCACAGCAACTCCAGAAGTCTACTCTGGATACACTATTGTCTTCAAACACAGGATAGCATCTATGAAACTATTCAGAATTTCTTATGTCTTACTCTTTAACAGGTTTGCAAAATAACTGAAGTCCCAGATAAGAAACACAGCTTGAAGAATAGTCACAGTAGAAATAGCACCAGAAATAAAAATTAAACACTCAAGTTATTAATTATGTTCTCAAACCTTGTTCTTCATTATAAACAATTCTGAATTATTACTCTAGTTATTTAAAATGTATTTAAATTATGCTCCTGCCATTTTTAGCATTTCAGTATGATGTTACTTGGGTAATACTAGCAAATAAACATACCTAGCATGTTTTCCACTCTTTATTTTTTTAACTTTGACAGAATGTAACTCTTATCATAAGCAAATGACAGTAGTATTTAAATACTAAGATGCAATTTATGCATTTTTATACACATATATATGTATATATACACATACACATGTTTTTAAAGAAACCTGAAGAAAGGGTAAGTAATTTCAGTTTCAGAAGGATGAGATTAAACAGTCAATTTAAGACTAGTTTGTCCAGAAATAAATTGAAAACATCCTCTATTTCCTTGTGAGTTACTAACCTATTGTTAATAAATCGATTAAAATAAGACTCATATGTCCAGTCTTACTGGGCAGATGATAAAAATGTCTAATTAGACTTTGATAAATCTGAACCTTATTTTGACACTATTTTTTCATAACTGCATTTTGTATGGATAATTCAAAGTTCTCCTAAGCATTCTGAAAGGACCAACAAGCCCCAGGTTTCACAGACCAAAGTCTGAATCAGAAAGGCAAAGCAGACAATACAGTGGATAACAGAGCTGACATCTGGAGTTTAACACCTCAGTGGGAAGCGCCTAGTGCTGGCCAGAACAAGAAACAAGATAGAAACATGACACTGGGCTAGACAAAACTCATCTAAAAACATACCACAACTCCTACATTCTTAAAGGAGTCTTAAAAGACAAGATTTAAAACTGCATTGAAACTGCAGAAAGAAGCATTTCTGAAGTGTCTTCTGCTAAGCAAAAATGCTTTGATCTAGAAATGCTATGACCTAGACAACTGTACTTTTAGAATACCAAAGCACAAAAGGACCACATACAACTATGCAAAACAATCACATTGTTAAAGTTCCACTTAAGGTTAGCATTAAATTCACTAATCATCAAATATTATCGATCTAAAACTTAACAAGTAGAGTTAAGTAAAATCTTCATGATGAGTTTAAAATTACAGTCTTAATTTCATTAGATACAAACCCAAAAACACTGTAAGAGTTCATTTTCCCTTTAATCCCCTAATATATTTTTTCTATTATATTCTATTTTCATATATTATATTGATTATAGTAGTTTTAACAGCTGTACTGATGTTCAAAAGGAAACAGGTACTTTTGCAATGCTAGGAAGTTTGTGATATTCTTCTCACAATTCCTAACAGTTTTTGCATGTAAAATCCTACACTAACCATATATGGTTTTAACCATGTAAAGCAGCAGCCATTTGCAAACTGTTTTATTCATCTGAGCTCAAACTAAGAGTTGATAGCCTGATTCTTTGATACTAATAACATTCACACAAGAGATCACAGTAAACTCTTAAACATGAAAACTTTTCTTACCGTTGAGTTTAGACCTCAGATGTCCACGAGGGATAAAATAACCTTGGAAAGAACTGTACTCTTCTAGAACTGCCATGTTTAAATCCAGTAAAATTTTTCCCATCATAAGACACGCACCTTCCCCATCAGGTGCAGATAGCTCAATAAAAGAAGATGAGAGAGGCATGTAGAGCTCCTCATTAGGAAGTACCTGGCAGTACAGTGGCCTTAAACATCCACTGTTATCAATATTTGTGACACCTTCAGAAGGGGCTCCAGAAAATGTAGTACAGAACATTTTGAAATGTTAATTTTGTGAAATATTCTGTATTTTATTTAGAACCTCTCTATGCATCTGTCCCAGACTACAGACAGCCCTAAAATAAATGCAAACTGTTCTGGTTAACAGCTGAAACAAAATTCTGCCACATGGCTCTTAAAGATTCCCTCAAAACCTAATTCTCTGACAAATCCTTGTTTCATCCAGAACTTCACTAAGCGGTCAGTTCAACCACAATAACTCTTCTTTATTTGCATAAAGAGACCTAGCTATTATAAATGAGTAGAACATAAATCCCAGGAAATTACGGACTAATACATTTTACATAACCGTTAATGCCAACTTGATTTTAATCCTGCAATTCCACAAAAAAAAAAAAATCTTAAATCCATACCATTGAAAATATCATATTAAAAAGACAGAGTGCTTTTTCCATGCAGCTTCAACGTATGCAGAAAATCCAGACAAAGAAGCCCCTCTAAAACAAAACTCCCCACAGTATTTCAAGCATGGATCATGTGAGTACACAAATCCGACTGTTCTTGTTTTTCAATTTTAAAGGTAATTATGCATTGATACCCAGGACAAAAAAACCCCAACAAACCAAAACCCAGATGTTCCCCTCCCCCCAATAGAATTTCACTGCACAGAGAGTAAAACAAAAACCAGATGATATTACAACAGTTTTTTCTCCAGTTACAAGCTGCCAGCATGTATCTGCTCTAGCCTGAATTCCAAACACTGAATGCAGAGGCTATAACCCATGCCCTAAGCATGTCTCAGCCGTGATTGCAGAAGGCATGAACACACCTATTCTGCCAGCAGAGAAGCCAGGTGTTACAGAATTTGACAGAATCAGAAAAGGACGATAAACAGGCCGGGAAAGACTACATGGACTCCCAGTTCAACAGTTTACTAAAAAAGCAGAGATGCTTAGAGCTTTGACTAGTGATTATAAGCCTGAAAGATTAGGCATAAACCACAGAATATTCAAGACAAAGGCATAGGATCAGTGAATGTACGTTTAGTATGCAATATCTTTTTCAGAAAAAGGTTGTTGCCTGAGGTCTTACAGCATGAATTATGAGAGTATTTGATGCACAAAAGTTTTTGCAGATTTAGTTTTCTTAGATCTTATTCCAATCACAGATAGAAAACTAGACAAACAAATTGTGTTACTCTTGGTAACATTTACAGTAGAGAGAAAGGCTAAACTTTTTGTGGTAGGTGGCACTACACAGTCACCACTGCTGTTTTAATTCCCACCTGCTCTGCCGACATTGCTATCAGGGAGGCACTGTTTGGGTAAGCAGAACCACATGTCGCTCAAGAGGCAGAACAGTTAAAACCTCCAGAAAGCTCAGAAAAGCTGGTAAGACGATCATGAATGGTATTACTATGATTGTTTCAAAACTAAACAACCCAGTCCCAGCTGAAGGAATCTATGCCAAAAAATGCCTGGTCTAAACTGATGATTGCCTGAACTTCCTCAAAACAATGTTTATGAAGCAAGAGTAATTTTCTGAGAAGTATTCCACATGAGGGAGGTTTTATTTGGGTTAAAAAAAAAAAAAGTATCAGTAATTCCCATAATTCAGGATTAGTTAAGGATTACCTATTTTGGTGACCTACCGAGATGCCTGGATGTCTTAGTACAAATTTAAGACTACATCCTTAGGCCATAAGGGGACCTCAGATGATCAGTTAACTCTACCCTTGCTCAAGCAGCAAACTAACAGCTACAGTGATATGACCTATGATCTATATCACCAACACAAATATCACAGGAGAAATCACTTTTCAACTTCAGTGTGAATTCAGAACTACAAAGACTCCAAACCTGATGTTCATTTGAGTGCATTTTTCACTCAATTTTAGAACAGATGGTAAAAAAAAAAAATTGTATCAAATTGATACATAGTTTTTACTCCTTCCAGCAATTTAATGAGAGCGTCTCCTGAGGAACCTGTAACTTCATGCCAGTGAGATGTATTCCTGAGAGGTAAATAGATTCAAATAAAGTTTCATGTAAAAAAAAAGTTTAATATCAACAAGTGTATATGACCAAAAGTCCATGTTACATGGTAAGCCAGATACACTGAAACTGAAATTTAATGGAAGTTTTATGATACCTGACATAATTTTGCCTGCCTCCAAATATGCATATTCTGAAGACCAAGCAGCAAATGCAAGGTACCAAAGTTTTCTTTTGAGTTTAAGCTGAAGGCCCTCTGTCCTATTTGCAACAAAACATGCTTCTCCAAAAGCATTCTTTACAAATGCCGGTCAAGCTACCAATCTTTCAGACTACAACTAAAAAAAATATCAAAGAACAGAAACAAAACATACTGACCTCCAGAATAAGAGTTTACTGCTTTTGCCATCACATGACTATCCTGAACAAGTCCAAAATAAAGCTATACACAACCAGTAAATGACAGCAGCAGGAAAAAATAAAATGCAGTGATTTATGTAAAAAGCTTACCATTTGGTGGGTCTCGTCTTTTTTCTGTAGAAAAAGAAAAAGAGCTATTTATTCATAGGTATCACAGGAAAAAATAACTCTATATTTTAATTTCTAGTGAAGCTCTCAATGTCCTCGAACTCAAACTTAAGAATCTATTAATATTCTAAAGTCTACTTGTGCAGTTGAAACAAAGCATTACAGAAAAATAAAAAGTAAATCTTACATAATAAGCACTGATTTCAAGTAAACCAAGTAGGAGCATAAGGAAATAGCTACTGAGTTGGTTTCAGACATTGTGACTCCAAAGTAAGGTGAAATATTCAAAAAGTAGCTGGTTTTAGTACAATCTATCAAAGCAAGATTTTTGAAGCGTTATGATTTCTGATTTCCACTGAATGAGACTGTTCCTTCTTTTTTATTTGAAATATAATTAGCACTTTTATACAGTACTGTTCTTCCACAGACCCTAAAATATATTATAATTATTTTTGGTTTTATGCAAAGAAAATAGGACACAGAAGGGCAAGACACTTCACCTGTGTTATCCAGTTACATACTCTCAGCCTATAATAGTAAATTCTGCTCTAAGTGAGATTTACCTCACTTACTATGAATTCCCATCCACCACAAATAACATTTATCTACCCTGAAACTGTCCTTCAGAACCCCCAGTACACAGTTACACTACTTGTGTACCTATACATACACTTTTAAGAATTTTGGATTTAGCAGTACCCATATGGGCAAGCACTTTATCATCTCACCACACCAAAAAACATGGCTCTATAAGGACGCCTGTACATCCCTCTCTTTCAGATCAGGAGAATGTGAAATCTAACATGGATTCCCCAAGAACTGTGTAATACGAATTTGTAACAGACATCACTTTTCAGCAAGTCCCAGAATAATTGCTAACTTTTTATATTTTTCCAGACACAACACCGTAAGGGGAAGGGAAAAGGTGCTTCCACAGATAGTGAGGCACCTTGTCCTAACAATATTTTAAAAAAATCTACAATCCTAAGTGTGTAAGGTAAGTCAGACTCGTATCAGTCAGATGATCTTCAGGTAGGAATAAAGAACCTGTTAAGGTAATGAAAAACCTTCAGAGGAAGATGGCTAAAACCCTTTGAGAATCAGCCTTCTAAAGACAGACGATTGCCTCTTAGCTCATGGCAGGTTATTATGAGGCACAAAGGTGGAGAACCTCTGCAAGGGTGCCTCAGCAGAAAGTATCAGGTCTGAGGGGACAGAGGGAGAGAAAAAAAGGCTTTCTGGCCAAATACTGTGCTTTCTCTTTGAGACTATTCAGGTTAAGAAACCACTCATGTTATGCTGCCAAAAAAACCCCAAAACCAAAACCCACCCCCAAAACCCCCCCCAAAAAACGAAACTCAACTTTTCAAACATGATTAAGAGTTTTATCCGACAACTCAAAGACAGCAAAGAAAGCACAGGACTGACTGGAAGTCATCTGGCACAGGATGGGAAGCTGGTAAAAGCAGGAGGTATTCATATGAAGCGTTAAGTGGCCTTGTGCCAAATAATGTGAATCCATTACAATTTTCATTAGAAGAAAGAGTTCAAGAGATAAGATGGTAGAAAACAAAGCAAGATATTTTGAACACTTCCCGTAATTTTTGATGGGTATACAGCAGATTAATTTGTGTCCCGAAGATGCTAGACATATTTTCTGTGGTTTCCACTGCTGACTAGACAATATGAACCCTGTCCTGAAGTGCAGATGACCTGACTGGAGAGTAGCAAATTTCTCCTTTTTTGAAGATGGAGCTGCCTACTTATCCAGAACAGATCAACTTCACCAGCTGCCTATGTCCAAAAACCATGGCTCCCTTCAGTAAGTATTCCTGGAAATAATAATGATCTCTGCTGAGACTTGAATCCAATGCAAGCTGAGCATTTCAGAGGTGTCCTTGTCTCCCAGGCAGCAAAAACAAAAGCTGTGAGCAAAGATGTAAAAAACCCCACGCACTCCATATTAAGTATCCATCTTGAAGCTTATGAAGTGTGTTAGGGAAAGGCACCAGGAGCTAAAACCTTGTGGAGCAAAAAGGCAGCTTCAGAGAGGGCTAACAAAGCTCCCACCCATGAGCTATAAGCAGTCCATAAAAATTAGTCAAGAAGCCTCCTACTTCAGAAAGGCAGGTAAGAACAAGGTTCTGTTCTACAAGTCTCTGCTGCCCTTTTATCGGTGAGTGCTCAGCATGTGGAGAGGATGCTTGTGTGTGTGTACACACATTAACATTTCTGAGCCAAGATAATAAAACTCACGGTATCTACATGCAAGAATACCCAAACTGAGAATGTTTGACACTGACAAGCACTAAGAGAAACGCTGTGTTCACCCTGTTAGGATACTTGGGATCAGTTTAAGAAGGAATTGAGAGATTATTTAACTAAGTCTACCTGAAAAATTAACTAAATATAGTAATTCTATTCTCTAATAGACAGTTTGTACATTTGCAAGCTTTTGCACATTCTCTATTTGGAGCCAAACCTTCACCTCTTTGGAACTCCAGATGCACTTCCTCAGGAGTTGTCTGTATAGTGGAGTGCACTTCATGTCGAGTGAAGAAGAGCAGAATACTGTACTGTTGCCTCTCCTCACAGCTGTTGGACAATATTTTGTGTACTAGTCTTGGCACCAAGGCATAGTTTTGTGAGCCAGAACTGCTGTTCTTGCTACCTTCCAACAACATAAACTCTCCTTAAGACTCCTGGAAAAGTATCCTAGCAAGCCCTGAATGGCATAACAGGCTGCTAAGTGATCACATGGAACAGTCATTTCAGCTGAAAGCATGTCAGGTGGTATTGCTATGAAATGAAACATATTTTGGAAGGCATGGGAGTAAAAATCCCATTAAACAGAAAAGCATCAAAACTACCAGACTATTACCTCTCTGCTTGCAAAGTTAATATGCATTAGAATACACACACACAATTTATATATACATTATAAATAATATACAACTTTTATATATGATTTATATTATATATAAATCTATGTACAAGTTAATAGATGTTTTATATAAGCATTCTACATATAAAAATAATTAACACCAACAGCAAAGCAGCTTTGATTTGGGCAAGTGCAAAGCCCGTTATTATATAAGCACAATTAGATACAGTTGCATCAATGACAAATACAGAACTCCATCTGGTGGCTTGACTAAGGTATTTCATGATTGCTTTCACTTCCTGTTTTGCAGATCTCAACAAGAAAAAAATCTCTGGAGTTTCTTGGTTTGTTTTTTGAATTTTTTAATTTGTCTTCAAACTGCATTTGGGAAGAGGGAATTGTTTGTTAAAGACAATGTATTGAGTAAGCTCATCCTACAACTGGAGTTTGAGCACACAAACCAAGATATTAACCCAAAGAGTAAACAAAAAAAACTTCCATGGTCTTGTGAAGAAAAACTCTAGATGGAAGGACAGAGGTGAACCTCT